GGGCTTTCTTTCACCTGTTATGATACAAACTACGTGGAAAATAAAAGAATCTTTTGATAATGAAGTAAACGAAGAAATTAAAAGAAAATTTCTTAAGTGGTTCAAGCAGCTGCGCCATTCGAAAAACATACAGATTTCAAGAGGGTTAGATGTCATTATGTAGCTTCACTTGAGCATACATAGTTTTAGACACATCATTTTAAGAAGTAAAGGTCCTGATAGCCTAGTGAAAGTTCAGTTACTTTAGGCCAAGTCACGAACAGCGTCACTGAAGAAAATCACCATGCCACGATTAGAGCTAATGGCAGCCAAATAAGTGTAGATTGTTCTAATCCATGAAAAATGCTCTAAAAATTGACGATTATGATTTGTCGGAACATTTTCTCAATATCTCTAGTGAGTGCGATACAATGAGTTCTAAATTTCAATAGGATGTCAAACAATTCATTTTGAAGCTTTGGACCAGTATGGAGAACATCATTTAAAGAAATTCCTGAATCAGATTTTGCAGAACCGTCGAATACAACCCGTAATTTGGTAGTTTCACTTTGATCTCTAGTAACTCCAAAATAAGGTAAATAGAAAAATTCTGCGGATGATTTTGAAAAATCGACACTTGGAACAATCTGCATATGATTCATCGTTTGATATTACCGCATGAAATGCATATATTGAGTTTTAAGCTCTTGATTCTGTTGAATTTTTCTTTCCAAGGTAAGAAACGCTTCTTATCTTGATTTCTTGAATCACGCAATAGAGCTTTATTCTTAAATGGGAGACTGACAACAAATCTACCATCAGAATTTCGACTAGTGGGGTTTAAATAAAATGCCTCGACATCTTGCTCTTCATCATTCAGTGTACTCACTTCTGGAATCGATTCGACTTCCTGGAATATTTTCATTAAATTTTCAATGCTTACTAAAGCATAAAAGTTAATTATAGAATTCTGAATTTTCTTTGTAAAGGACACCCTTCCTGAAGTTGTATAGACATTAGGTTAATTGGAAAAGCCTGAGAGATGAAAAATTAGCAACCGCCTTCGCTGGCAATCGAACCACGGACCTCTGGAATATCAGCCCAGTGTGAAGAACCACTACACCACGAAGGCACGCTAAGGAAGTGGGAGAAATACCTTATAAAGTGAGCCAACCCAATTTTGAATTTAGAGCGGATGGTTGGTTTTGATTTCCCACTATCTTTCCAGTTTGAATTAAATCTAAGAATATATCCGCACCCAGAATGATATCAATCCGTTTACTTTTGTGAAAAGAAGGTAATTGTAATCCTTTCAAATAAGGCCGAATGAATTCTGACAGATCAAAGTTTGGTAAATTTGACGTCAACTTTTTAACTACTAAAGCCTTAACAGAAAAGTTCCCCTTATTAAAATGAGGAGTAAAATTTAAATTAGCTACTTTCGTAACACGTGCGGCAACTGTATCATCAAGTCCTAGGATAGTGTGTTCAGACTTTTGAAATGAAAGCTTTAGTCGATTGCAACACGATTCAGTGATTAAAGATGTTTGAGAACCATTATCAATCAGAGCACAACATTCGATAAACTGTTCTCGATTATTTTTTACTCTTATTACAGCTGTGGTACGTAATATTAAATTAGAATTTCATAAATTCCCTGTGAAGCAAAACTGCTTCTCTTCCGAGGTTGATATAAAGGCTGATTTTGAGATAGACTTTTTGGAGTAGACACTACTTGACTTTCAGCAGAATGTTTTTTATCTGTTCGAAAAGCATAAAGAATTGTGTGATGTTTCTGTTTACGTGTCCTGCAAGATGTAGTGAATCGGCATGAGGATACATCATGATTTGGTCTCAGACAATTAAAACAAAGGTTTGCTTTTCGTATGAAGTTCCAACGCGCATCAATATTCATTTTAAGAAATTTCTCGCACTTATGTAACTGGTAAAGTGTACAAGAATCCTGCCTTAACTTAACAAAACGAAAGAAAAATTTTTTAAAGGTGGAAGTGTTTTATTTTCTAGTGTTAATTTCCATTTGATTTTAAGTGAATCTTCTAGCTTATCTTGTAACGCAAATATTAGAAGAATTTAGGCTAACTGATTGCATTCTAGACCAAGTGTTTTAAAATTCCGAATAACTTCATTGCAGGTATCTATCATTTTTCAAATGGAATCAGATGTTGGTTTTACAAATTTTAAATTAAATAATTTTCTACACTGAGAAAATCGTAATTCCCTTTGGTTATCATGTCTGTCGAGTAAAGAGTCCCAAACATTTTTATAATTTTCAGAGATTATTGCGAATCCCCTGATAAGTCTTGCAGCATCAGACGAAACTGCACTTTGAAGATATCGCGATTTTTGAATGTCAGTTAAAGATGCACTAGAATCATTTAAAACTCAACCAGGATTCAGACGGGCCAGAAAACGTTGGAAGATCATACTTCGGATGCTTTATATTCACATAGGATGCGGCAGATTTTGCCGTCTTATCATCTTTGAGCTGTGATTCTTTATTAAACGAAGTGAGATATGTTTCTATTTTAACTAATAATTCGTCTGCCAAATCCGGAGTCTCAGACAAATTTTTAAACTCAGATTCTTCATCAAAATCTTCAAGAACAGAACATTCATAATAATATTCTTCAAGCTGGTCACGAAATCTTTGAAGATTTGATTTTAATGTAAGAAATTTCTCTAAATTTTTTATCTTAAAACATCGTCAGCAGTTGCAGCAAATCTTCCAATTTGCTTGATTTGAGTTCGATACATTAACGGAACTGATGATTTCCTTTTTGACATATTTATTTTACCTTGAAGAATTAAATTACGTACAAAATAGTTATGTGCAGATGTCCTGAAAACTTCAAACATATATTTGAAAAAATGTATAATAGAAATCAGAGTTTAAGAATGCATTTTACATGAAAATAATCTGAATGCAACTAAAACTTCCGTATAGTTTTTCATTTGCGACATAAAAATGCATACTTCGATCTTTTTTGTAAACCAGGTAACTTTAATGGAATACTAGAATTGGATCTCGTCGGTGCCTCCAATGTTTGTTGGTAAGTTCAATAATTGATAATTATTAAATAGCTTACCTTGAATTTTCATCGACTTATAGTTACCTGGAAATACTTGAATTTGGCACAGTAAATGAAGAATTGAATAAGGTTTTGACTTTATCAGCTGTTAGAACTGTTTACATGAGTTCATTCTTTCTTAGCATCGAATACTAGTCGTTTGGTTTTATTTAATCTGTTGCCACAAACAAACGGCAAAATACATTACGAATTAAGCATCTGGCACGAGAGTAGTGCCCTCTATAGAAAAAAATAAAATAAGGCATAACCATTTATAAAACTGAACAATAGGAAAGCCTCCACTTGGGCTAACTTAAGATAGAAAATAAGAAACTAAGCCTAGGCTATGCAGAAATAACTAACCGAGTTGGCGCTTATTTAAACCTCACCGGCGAATACTGACAGAAACGTAAGAATAAGGCCGAACGTAGTAAGATTGGCTTAAAACAACGATGTGGCCAGAAGGAGTACACGCTGTACTGAGAACTTCTGAGCTCTTCTACAAAAGTGACAGACACTTCCCATTAAAAACTGGTTTTATTTCATTTGCATAAAACGTGATATTGAAAATGTATTCTGGCAGGGGATTGTATATGGGAAACAAGAAATTAAGAAAGAGGGTTTCAAAATAAAAAAATAACTATTAAGAAATTAAAATAAATCCCTACAGTACAAATACCATCATCCAGACTATACAAAGATTTGTCGCAAGGAGAGTACGAATATCTGTACTGAATTCGGATAATGATTCCAATTTCACCAAGTACCGCTTTGAAGCAACTGGCCTGTAAGAGGATTCGAAATTTATTTAAAGTGAACGGAATTTGCAGGAAATTCAACCCTCTCTCCTTCCCAGGATGAGTACAGTTCTGGGCTTGATTCTCAAAGTTCTCCTGAAAAAGAATCTTGGAAGTTCTTCCCTGATATACGAAGAACAGCAGAATTTAGTCTATGAATGTGAATCCGTTGTGAACAATAGGCCATTCACACATGTGTCGGAAGAGCCAGAGCTCAAAATTCTGACTCCTTCTATGTTTCTTCAGAACATTCGTATAAATGAAGCTCCTGATTTAGATGAAATCCAGAAGATCAATATTGCTAAAATATCTAAATATCTTCAGAAAATACTAGAACATTTGGAACAAAGGTTTAGGAAAGAATATTTAGGTTTTCTTCGTTCTTTAGTTTTCAAAAGATGTGACGAAATTAATATAGGGGGCATGGTGCTAATTGGGACAGATAACACAAAAACGACTATATTGGTCCCTCGGAAGAGTGCTGAACTTTTCCACGACAATGGTGCAGTTGTCAGACTATAGAAATGAAAATCCCTTAATAAAAATGTATGTGTTGAAACTAATACAACGACTAATAACTAAGAGTAACACATGAACGGGAACTCGTTATTCGTGATCACGAACTGATTCCTGATACAGTACGTAATAAGCATTCTGGGATGGAAAAGGATTTTAATGAACTTGAATGAAATATATTTTAACGAACAGTATTGTAAGTTGAACCTATCAACACTGTGCTAAAGAGTATTAAAATGTATTTTGAAACAAGGTCTTTCATCTCGTCAAATTTTTAGCAAATTGCTCATTTTGTCATTTTGTTTTGCGCTTAAAATAATAATATTCACAATAAGTATGTACTAATGTAGAAACCAATTGAAGAAAGATGTTCGAACTGTAAAGCTTCATAAAAATTTTTAAATCTTTTTGTTGTCTCAAAGATATAGTTCTTTGAATTAGTTAACCATGAGTTCAAAGTAACAGAGGAAGATATTTTTAACGCACGAAATTTTAACTCTACTTAAAAACTGTTTTTTTTTTCGTTTCCCGCTTTGGCAACTCGCTGTATTATTTGGATATTTATTTAAAAGATTGTTGATTGAATAGAGCTGTTGATATTTGAGGTTTTGATAAAACTCTGAATTGAGAGAAACTAATGATTAACTGAAGAGTATGTTTAGAGGAAAAAAGAAGAATGTAAAGTAATGCAAAATGTTTTGAAACTGAGGTATAATTATGTAAAGGGCGTAAGAAAATCTCTGTGGCTATTGAAAACATGAGTACTAAACGTTTTTCTAACTCGCAGATTATAAAACAGTACGAACACTTTGAAGAATTTGGTGAAAAATTAAAAGCTGAGGTACAACAGGCAGAATTTTATGAAGAATTTACAAGATTGTTGGAATATTTCCGATTTTATTACGAAGAAAATGAAAGAAAAAAGCAGAAAATTTTTGAGTTGAACGCAATGAAATTGAATGACCTGCAGAAAAGAAAATCTGAACGAATGGAACATGAAGAGGTAATAAAAAATCTGAAAGAGACTATCGGTCATCTGCAAGCAGAGTTAAATGAATGGAAAATTCAAGGAAAAGATTTCATCAAGCAAATAACAAATCTGGAAGACATTGTGCAGGAGCAAGCTAATGAAATAGAAAGAATGACTTTGAAATATGAAACACAAGAGGAAACGATGCTGGATAGCACTAAAAGAAAGCATTTACAACAAAACATCATGGAAAACAATAATTTTCTTACAAAAAGTCTTGAAGAATTGGTAAAGGACACCCATGATGTTAAACCGTTAGGCCTAGCCTCTGAAACGCCAAAGCGACAAGATGACCAGAGGTCAACTAAAATAAAAAATATCCTCGAAGTAAAACCGTCTTTTAAACTTAGCAATGAAGCTGTTAAATCTCTATCCCACCATAAAGAAGGCAAAATTTCATTCGAAAGTAAATCACGTGACATGGAACGTTTATACCATCATATGCAAGAATCAAAGAAGCCCAAAATAATGAACAAAAATCTATTGAAACATAAGAATGAAGGAGATGTGTTATGGCCTGAGAAGGTTATACGAGCAAAACAAGATGTCTACGGCATTTCTAAGACATACCATAGAGACATGGATGAACTTCTGAACATCGAAGAAAATTTGCAGCATTTTAAAAACGAGAATAAAACGCTGAATAAAGCTATTATGATTTTACGAGTAGAGCTTGAAATGTCTCAAAAGAAACAGACTGAGCTAGTGAGAAATCTTAAAGAAAACGATGATCTCATCAACCAATACAAGAAGGAGTCAGTTGAAAGAGAAACGAGGTATCAACAAATGCAACAAAAATTGACGAATGAATTGACAAGAAAAAACGAAACTCTAGAAAACATAACTGCTAAATTCCAAAATGTAAAAGTGGAACAAGATAAACTCAAGAAAGAGTTAAACGACACTACAGAGGAGAGAAATATATTTAGTTTGGAGGCAGAAATAGCATCTAAAAACATCGAAAACTTGGAAAAGAAGGTTGACAGTTTGATGAAAGCGAGAAATGATGCATCCAAAACGGCAGAAATATTCGAGGAACATTTAGCACAAGCTCAAGCTCGCATGATCATGGCCAAACAAGAAATCGAGAATCTCGGCAAAAAACTAGAGGATGTAGAGGAAGACATGCTTAAGTTGAGGAAAGCCAACGAACTCACATCTTCCCAAAAAGATTCTGCCAAAAAAATGGACATGACTAATCTGGAAAATATGGTTGGACATTGGAAAAATCAGATCGCAACGAGAGACAATAGAATGAAACGCATAAAAGGAGATTTAATAAATAAAATCAAAGAATTACAAAAATTAAAGAGGGACATTTGCGATAAAGAAAGGGAAAGAATGACAGCAGTTGGAGAAATGATGCGTTTGAATAAAGTTATCGATGAACAAAGCTCTGCTCTGAAGACGTTAAAACTTCAACTTAAAGCTTCAGATCAAGAGATCGATCACTTGCAAAAGAAGGTAAGAACTTTGGATTTAAAATACCAGCATGCTTACGCGGAAAGGCACAAATACCAAACATTATACACACAACTGTGTATTGTCAACAAACAAAAGCAGACAGAGAATTCACTGATAGGAAAGCAGCATGAATACTTAATGAAATATCTTAGTGATAAAGAATCCCAGGCGCTAAAATCAATGAAATGTATAAGATTTTAATTATTCAGAATTAATGATCAATTCTACGAAGTACTAAGCTGAATACATCAAATATGCTTTCAATTCAATCTCTTCGTAAAAAAAAATTATAAAATCGATCGTGTTTAAACTCCTATAAATGAAAATATGAATTTCTATGCGAAACGAATATCCTAAAAGATAAAAATCAAGCAGAAAAATTTACCGCTGTGGAAGTTAAGCTTTCAAGTGATTTTTATACGTATAAAGAAGGCGAACGAAAATTTGAAGATTTCTATTTAACAAATTTCAACTTTGCTTGGCTGTGACTTCAAGAAGGGGGAATCCTTGAGGAAGGAAAAATGTAGTTTTCTCTCTGGAGTAGTTGGCCTTCGAATGCAATATAAAGGCGAAGGAAATTTACAGAAGAAATCAAAACATGCGAGACATAGTATATAAGAACTGAAATTCAACTTGGTGATTAAATTCACAACATTAAAGAATATGAAAGGATCAAGAAATTTTACATCAAATGAATATTCTTTGTAATTAATTTAACCAACGAAAAAATCTTAAAAGAATAAAAAAAAATTATAAAAAAAGTCGAACCGTTAAATTATTTTCTTCACTTCATTTCTATTTAGCATGTTTTCTTTCTGCAGTAAACCAAATAAAAGAAATATCCCATAAAAAATAAAGCATTAAAAAACAACAACTTTAAAAAATCTGAAAGCTTTCAGATTTTATATTACGCCCAAAGGAGCGTTTTTTAATGTTTTTTGTGTTACATTAATTTATGAAATACCATGTTCTTCGCACTTAAACTATAACATTTAGTTCAGCAATATCACAAAATACAGGGTGGGGCAAATAAAAGTGGACCGGAGAACAGAGTAACTCTGTTTTCCGGGGCACTTTCATTTGCCCCATTCTATAGTTAAAGCAGCATATCTTTAGAATTTAGTACACAGTTTGATCTGCTGGATATAAAAATGTTTTTTCCCTTACAGCGCTGCCGTTTGTTCGCTTTGAAATCATTGAGTTTGTTAATAAAACATTCTGAATTTCTAGATGCCCATATTCGAATGGAAGACTACGTTATTCAAAATTGGATGTCTCTATGTACCGTTGTTTGTTTTTTACAGTGCGAGAAACATACATAAATATACATTAAGTTTATGGTAATGACACAGTACGCGAATTCCTGCTGTTATAGTACATTATACATAATTTTAAATGTATTATTGAAATTGGTGGTTGTTTCAAGCATTTTTCCCCGCCATTTTATCACACGTTCTAATATGAAAGCTATTCAATATTTTACTTCGTGAGCTATTATTATTCAACTATACTGAATTTTTAGTTGAACGTTATTAAAAATTTAATGGGTTATTGAATGTAATAATTCCATTATTTTCATTTATCTGTTCCTGATTATTAGGTCAAAGTCCCAGAACGAATCATTGATCTCGAAACGGCATTTTACGATGAATAACTCACTATAAACGGCGTATCGCGTTTTCAATTGTCGCCACCCGATATTATCGCCCTGTATTATATTTCAAGAAATTTAATGTCGAAGAATCTGCATGAATGTATGCATGTTTCTCGCAATGTGAAAAAAAGTTAAGGAGTAAGTGCAAAGAAAATCATACTTAATAATAAAGATAAAATGACAAAAAGAAATGAGTTAGCAGGAGTAAAAGGAACACAGACTGTTAGACTGCGAGATCAGAGAGAGCGTATAATAACCTTAACAAAGCGTTTTGGGCGACCGTTTAAATCTGAGCCCTTTCAGATTTTTTTCACTCATTTGTATTATTCATTGCATTCGGAAATAGTTTCTGTAATCAGAAATTTAATTAATACTGTCTGTCCTTTTTTATTACTTTCTTGTACGAAGTAAAAAGGCAGTATTGTAATCGCGAAAAGTTTCAGGCAGCATATTTCAACGAAAATATCCATTTTGATCGCTTTCTAATGCAATTGAACGATGTTTTTGCGTGGTATCTGTACCTAAGGACAGAATAAAATACTCTTTTCCTCCAAAAAAATTATAAAACTGCTCTAAAATGAATTCTGAAGAGAATTTTTCGTGGCGTCTGTACGAACGTATGTACGTATCTCGCATAACTCAAAAACAAGTAGCCTCAGAACGTTGAAATTTTGTATATAGGGTGTAATACTTCTTTGGCGAAATGAAGCAACTCCAATGATGGAACGCAGCAATAACTTTTATTTAACACTAAAAAAAAATGGCGACATACAAACAAGAAGATAAAACATATTCTAACATTTAAAAATAATTTACATTCTTCGTGCGAGAGTCGCACGTGGCACTCGAGTCTGGTTTCAAATATTGCCATTCACAAATACCTTAATGTTCATCTATTTAAATTATTTAAACTACAAGATTTTAATACTATTTAAAGCTGTTACAACCTCTCCCCCAACGGAGAGACTTTTTCCGAAGGGAAAAGTTCTGTAAAATTTGACAGTTTAATAAGCTCAGCTTGCTCAATTGCTTAAAGAGAAAAGATAACTTCTCTCATAAGTTTTCAAATATTCAGGCCGAAAATTTTAAATTTTAAACAAATATTTTTACACCACATTTAAATAGGAAGAAAATGGACAGTATTCAAATTAGTCTTCCTTTTTTTTTTCTTGACGGCGCCTAGATCTCTTCCATGGTGGATCAGTTCCTCGGCTATAATTCACAGGAAAGCCTTTCCTCAGTTCATCTGTGCCTTTCGGATAATATTCATTTGTCATTTGCTTTCGACAATTGTTTTCTTCGTCTATTAGTAGCGGCTTTGATATTAAATCAAAAGCCGAAAGATGATGATAACGCTGCATTGCAAAATGATTCTCAATATTAATTTCTTTATCGTTTTTCAAATTTTCGTGAACATCTTCCACGTTTAATTCTGGTGATTTAACTTCTTCTTCAAATACATCTCTGGATGCTTTATTTTCTTCCTTCATCGGTTCAAAGATCTGCTCTTCAGCTATTTTTCTTTTCCTTTGAGCTCAAGTAGAAATGGCATTAAAATGGTATCACTAAGTTTACGTTCCAGTGATAAACTAATAAAATAAGGCAGTTCAGTGTTAACAGGAAGTAATAACCTGATATCACTAATATTACGTTCAGTGATGAGCTAATAAAATAAGGCAATTCAATATCAACAGGAAGTAATAATCTGGTATCGCTAATATTGCGTTCAGTGATGAACTAATAACATAAAGCAATTCAAAATTAACAGGAGTAATAATCTGGTATCACTAATATTGCGTTCAATGATGAACTAATAAAATAAAGCAATTCAATATTAACAGGAGGTTATAATCTGGTATCACTAATATTATGTTCAATGATGAACTAATAAAATAAAAATACGCACGATTATTCGATCTCGCCGGTGCCTCCAAAATAATTATGACTGTGATACTTCTTTGGCGAAATGAAGCAACTCCAATGATGGAACACAGCAATAACTTTTATTTAACACTCAAAAAAATGGCGACATACAAACAAGAAGATAAAACATATTCTAACATTTAAAAATAATTTACATTCTTCGTGCGAGAGTCGCACGTGGCACTCGAGTCTGGTTTCAAATATTGCCATTCACAAATACCTTAATGTTCATCTATTTAAATTATTTAAACTACAAGATTTTAATACTATTTAAAGCTGTTACAAGGGCTACTATAACATGCAGATGTGCACCTCCTATTTTTTTTTTAAATTGGCCGCACCAAACGTATATAAATATATTTATATATATATCCACACTATTACCAGCCTCAGTGATCTCAGTTTCTTTACTCTTATATGTCTGTAAATTGTACATTTTTTGCTTTAAAAATGATTGAATTATGTTGTTCTTATTTTCTGGTTAAGGTTTTTATGCCTTTAGTAAATCTGTCTGCAATAATTTTAGAATTATCAACAATTTTAAAGTTGTTAATTCAAGTGTTCTTAATTAAGTGCCGCTAAGCCTAATAATTTTTTTTATGGCGGCCATTACTTGTTTACATTTGAAACAGCAGGATAGTGGATTTGTTTCCAATCTAGAGAAACTTGGCTTCGTAACAACAAAGATAACACCTTCATTTATTATTGCGAATTAAATCATGCTTAATCCTTTCTGGAATTTTTTCGAGGAAATAAGTGTTTAAGATATACTTCGTAATTTTTAATACAGATATTTTGAGTTTTTGTGTATTTTTGCCTTGTCGCGAAGTGAGAACTGAATTAACTGAATGGGAAATACTCAATCGTCTGTGAAAAACTGTTTCTTTTTAGTTTTGTTTGCTTAATTTTTTTATATGTCGTTCTACATTTATTATAGTATTTGAATAGAACATGTGGCAACGATTAGATAATTCTTTAAATGATATAAATTTTGTGCATTCTGAGTTATAATATGAGCGAAATATAATACTGCTAAGTGAACCTAGCGCCAGAGTGTCGCTATGGTAAACAAATAGAGTGAATTTTAAAGAATACATTTATTTTATTGGGGTTTATGCGTTGTCGGCGAAGTAAATTTAATTCAATCCAATAAGTTTAAATGAAATGCAAGAAAAAATGCGTATAATTTGATATTCTGTACAAGGAGGTCATGTGGTACACATCAGATTCTTTTTTCCTGTATTTCTTAATAACTTTCGACTGCTTCTTGGATTTCTAATCCTTCGTAAAATCGAATCGTCGTAAGTCGAGGAATACCAACATTGTTCTTCGGAGAGGCTCTATTTTGTTTCCATGTGTCATGCAAATAACCGAACTTTGTAGTTAAAGCAACATAACCTTCTCGAGAAATTTAGAAGTTATCATGAAATCTAAACTACACACACAATATCCCTTTATTTTTCTTAAAATAGTTACAAAACAAAATGTACATCATGTCGAGGTATGGATGTACAGAAAGATCTAATTAATACAGTTTTTACCAGGGAAAATTCCAGTATTCTGTATACAATCCAAACTCTTTACAGAGGTTAATTCAACAGTACTGGGTATGGCAATCTCGCCGTTAAATTTGAAGTCTTTTGTTGCATGCACGATATTCTCCGGTAGATGACCATTTGTTCTCTGCTCTGGTGTGTCTTCTTCTTTGGGTTTCAGATTTCTGGAAAGAAGCAATCGCTCTAAATTGGAGAGGGGAGCTTCGAGAAGGAGGTAAAAAGGAACGGTCAGCAGCAAAGTGACCACAATATTGCCAATGTATTCGTAAAGCTGCAAAAGAAAAAATATTATGATATATTTAGAAAAGTGTTTATTTTAAAGTTAATCTAAAATCCACTTAATTTCTTAATTTTGCTAATTTTTACATTAAAGTATACTTTAAAGTTTTTTCCGTTCTATTATATGCCTAACAATATTTATTGCGGTTAGGTATTTCAAACATTTCTTATAATCGAACACTTTATGTACTTAACGCAGATTCAATAGTAAAAATGAAAATGTTGAAATACGGGGTGTACCGTAAATGTTGCTACAAACTTCTAGGAGAGGTAGGACAAATCATAAGGATTAAGAATTGCATAGGTACTTATACCCGGAAATATCAAGTGACAGCAGAGGTAGAAGATGAGGAAAGAAGCAAGAAAGATTAATTTGAAACATTTAATTGTACATGAATACAAATGGTGAACGACAGCTTGAATGTTACAACAGATGTACGAAGTTTGCACCATCAGACGCCAAACATGCCTGACGCCATTTTAATATCGACCATTTGAATTGGAACATTTGAATATCGCGAATTATTTTATCTATCTGGAGCAGGTTCCTCCCGATTTGCTTGACGATGTTCCACCAAATGTGAGGCGCAACATGTGATTCCAACATGACAGGGTCCTTGCTCATTTTGGACTGGATGTTCGTAGCCATTTGAACAGATCCTCCCCGCATCAATGGATTGGGCCGTGGTGGACCAGTTCTCTGCCCCCCCCATGCTCACCAGATTTATTGAGCATTGATTTAGTTTTGTAGGAAGCTATCAAATGTGTCGTGTATCACGCTCCTGTTGTGTCTTAAATGGATTATGTGCCTAAATAAGTTGTGTATATGTATACTAGTATATATATTAGTTTATACATCCAATCGCATACATCATCGTGTAACATGTAAAAATAACAGCACCAATTACTTGCCCTAGCACTGTATTAAGAAACTAATATATGAATATGTATATGTATTATGCGCCTAATGTATATATACCCAATGACAATTATGCACCTTATAACTGCGTATAAATGCGTTATTTTTAAAATACTATAAAATTAATTACATCCATTATCCTCAACGGCACTCTATAATGTACCATCTGCTCATGTACATAAATGTACCATGTACCTATTGATTATGAAATCGAATGATATAAGCATTGTAAATAGGTAGTACACTATAGCATTGTAAAATGGAAGTCTACTGTTCTGTTTTGTTCATTTATGAAGCGTCCTTTACCCGTTAAACGTCCTTCACACAATGCCCATATCACGCACATGCGGCAGGTAACCAATCATCAAGGAACCAGACCAAAACCGCTTTGCTCTTGTTGTGTGTGCGGGAAATCGCAGCTGACTGTTTAGCTAACCCATGCATCTTACCACCTTGAATAAACTCTCACAAGTCTCTAATGGAAGAGGTTCTTCCAGAATCGATGGGGCTTCATCTTATCGTGGGATTTCCGTACGCTCTTCCATGTTCTCGGAAGACTACGAAAACCAAACTTTCAGCCATGGGCTCGAACCCCAAATAAACTACAAGCATTGAGCCATCTTAACTAATTGGCCACTGATGGGAGCCTTTAAAGTAAGTGAAAAGAAAAAAAATCAGGCATGCTCTGGCTGAGATTCATGTCACGAATCTTCCGATTGCAAACCTGAGATGATACTAATCACATCACATTCGCCCGGGTTCGAAACCGATGTGAACTGACTATTAAGCGGTCATGACCATTCGGCGACGAATGGGGATGAATAGGCTGGCTATTTGCAAAACTTTATGTTTTCCCATCTGTAACATTAAACGAATTTAATTTTTCTTCAAACGTCCTCCACGAAAGACATCCGTTTCTTTCGGCAGATGTCTTTGAGCGTTTAGTCGTATTCAAAATAAACCAACGCGCGCAAATTTTCAAAACTTGTAAGAAATCCAAATTCAGGACGAATTATTGCGAGAAATAATATTGGCCTACCGAAAAGCGAAAATTATAGTTTTATCCCAAACTTAGGATGCTATTCAAGGTCTTTTCTCTCCTTTCACTTTCACATACTGGACATATTCCTTTATCCTATATTATAAAAACCTCTAGTTTGTCTGTGTACGCAAATCAGCACTGGTCAGAAATATTGTTAATTTCCCAGTAAATTTATAGATCCTCCATTCATTTGGATCTCTTAGAGGTAAATGAAATTTCCCCCTTTATTAATGACCGAAACTTGATTTTATGCATTAGCAAGGTTGACTAATTTCCCACTTGTTAATGACTTAATTTCTACTTCAATCTGAGACCCACCTTTCTTCTTTGGATCAAGTACGTACATCAACTTTCGAGTAGCCACTGCTATCCATATTGCGTTGAAGAGAATAGCAACGCATTGCTAAACTTAAATCAAGCCTCGACGAAATTGCTTTACATAACTGTGCTAATTTTCAACTCAAAAGGGCATTAGCCCGAATGGGCTATTAGTCTCGAAACGGAATTTTTCATCGTCCGCTATAAACATCCAATCACTTTTCAGATTGTCGACACCAAATATTGTCGCCCTGTATTATCTTTAAAGAAATTAAGTAATGAAGAACATGCATGTATGCAAGCATGCTACTCGCTCTGTGAAAAAACGTCTGTACCTAGAGCCGTTAAATTTTCGATAACGTTGTCTCCCGCCCGAACATATTCACATGAAAGCCCGAATTTTATACTTCATGTTTTGTAAAACATCAATGAATTTATTTATGAACAAACTCAACAATTTGAAAGCGAGCAGTGGTAACACTGTACTGTATAAAGTATTTTTATTTCGAACGTGCTAAACTGTCTGTTCGAAATTCTAAGTATTTGTCTTTGAGTTGATGTCCATGTCAGATAAGTGCAGAGAAAGTGATATGTAATAAATAAAGTAAACACACAAAACGTTAATAATAAAAAGTCACAAAAAAGTTTTGTAAGTCATCTTAGTAAGAAAACTGAACATTGATATGATGAACTGAGAAAAAACTGAAAAAATAGAGAAACGTATGCCGACTCTTAATACTGCATCGGGTATTTTAAATATACGCTGCTATGCTGCTGTTAAATTTTTTGTCATTTTGCTGTTGAAATATATATGGAGCAAGTACGAAGAAAAAATTCCTTAATAATAAGACTATTAGGAGTGGATGCAGCAAGCTGACTGGCAGACTGAGTGCTCAGCGAGAGCGTAACGAAACCACAACAAATCCTTTTGGGTGATCGTTAAAACCTGAACTCATTCAGATTTTTGTTTTTGTGCTTAGCTCCGTATTCTGCTTGCCATTAAAATACAAAAAAATATTTTCTTCGGATATATTCATGAGATTTTGTATTATTTCATGAACTTGCGAATAAAGCTTAACTTTTAGATTGAGGTACTGGTTTAAGGTATGAATTTTCTAGAACAATTAAATAGGATTTTTGGCTATTATAGAGGAATATGTATTAATTGAGACTGTATAATTTCAGGTCTCTCAATTGAATTGAAAATCGGTTTAAAGAATCATCAGTAACATACAGTTACATTAGAAAAACAAAAAGTTTTAAATTTTTTAAATGATTGATCTTTTGGTCTTTCTCATTTACGATAAGTTAAAAATAAGCAATCAAAAATAAAAGTACGGTTTACATGTGTTCAAAATGTAAGCAGTACTAACTGACAATGAATTTAGGATAATGAGAAAAGGACTGTATCTTCAGAATGGATAAATATAGGAAACAGTTAACCAAATTTTTAGATTTTTAATTGACAAAGAAATCATTCGTAATGTAAATTTTTTATTATTTACTTTCGAGCAAAGTGCTTCAGATACTCACCATATTGTAATGACTGAAGTAGATTCTTTCTCTTGCAGAAGCTTTTCTTACCCATATCACAAGACTGTGAAGAAGGTAAACCATGAAAGTTAGGCGGCTCACTGGAGCAAACAGAGACGCCGAAAGAAATTTGTTCACTACACCTATAAAACAAAGGTTATTATCGTAAAACTGCGATGAAACTAAATCGCTTACTAATTTTTCACAATACAATATTTACACAGCAGGACAGTATGTACCGCACTATAGGCGCCCAGGATAGTATGCATCTTTACAAACACTTTTCATGGAGGTCCATAGAACTCTATAGAAATTTCTATAGAAGCGTAAAGGTAATCATCTATAGAAATGGCTTTTCTATAAAATTTTATAGAAATTTTATAAAAATTTCGCAGAAAAGAATTCTGTAGCAAATTTGTTTTTTAAATAAATACGGAAATTTGATAGTTTCCGCAGAAACCATTTTTATAGAAAATTTTTATAAAGCTTTCACCAAAAAGAATTTTACAGAAATTTTATAAAGGTTTCGCAGAAAAGACTTCTATAGAAATTTTATAAAATTTTGACTTCAAAGAATTCTATAGAAATTTCGCTTTTTAAATAAATGCAGTAACTCTAAAATGCTTTCTCGGATTTTGTAGAAATTTTATGAAGTTTCACAGAAAAGAGTTTCAAAAAACATTTCGCATTTCAAATACCAAAATTTTATAAAGTTTTCACAGAAAAGAAAGCTTTCACAAAAAGAATTCCATAAATATTTCATAAAGCTTTCTCTGAAAAGAATTTTGTAGAAATTTCATTAAGCTTTCGCTGAAATAAAGTTTCTAGAAATTTTATAAAGCTTTCAAAAAACTCCACACATATTTTATTTTCAAATAAACACAGAAATTTATGAGGCTTTCACAGAAAAGAATTTTTCAGAAATTTTATAAAGCTTTCCCAGAAAAGAATTTTCAGAGATTTTATAAAGCTTTCATAGAAAATAATTATTCAGTAATTTTACAAAGCTTTCACACATAACAGTTCCCAAGAAATTTTGCAAAACGTTTTCAGAAAAGAATTCTATGAAAAATTTGCTCTCTAAATGAATACAGAAATTTTACACAGAAATATATAAAGACTTCAAACTATAATCAAAGAAACTTTTCAGTTTCTGTTGTACTCTATGGGACAGAGAAGAATAAAAATAAACACTTTCTATTTATAAGCGTTGAATAATGTTTCAATGGAGTTTTTTCCATCTCTCTTCTACTCTAACGTTTCTTAACATCTAAATTTATGTAATGTATTGTGCAATTTTTAGTGTAGTATTGCTTATATAATAGGAAAATTAAACGTTTTGAAAGCATAAAATAAGTTTAAATCATAAAATTAGTTAAAATTTTCAATTTATGTTATTAAATATAAACATTTAATTCCTTAAATGAGTGCTTTTATTTTTCTCATATGTACTAAATAATCATACCTGTAAAATATACACTATTCCATTATTAATCAACTGTAGAATCTTTATAAAATTCGTATCGAATTTTATAAACGTTCCGACACAGAATTTTATATCATTTAAAAAAACAGAATTGTATGGAAACGTAAATTTGCAAAATATCATCCAAATTTAATGAAACCATTATAGAATGGTTTTTCAATAAAATTATTTAAAGTTTTCGATTATATTCAAATTTTCAGTTTTTGAAAATTTGATTTAATCTATTGAAACTTTAATTGTATAAACTGCTCCGACACTTGGAATAAATTCAGTGTAATATATAGAATATAAAACAGCAAATCTAATAACATTTCCATTCATATATATTGAATTATTTTAGAATAAAAATTTTTGTCTTTTTCCCTCTAACCTAAGTTAAAGGCCTAGGTAGCTAGTTTTCTAGCGTAAGGTTCTAGGTTTTTTCTTAATTTGCATAACAAATTTATTTTAAGTTTTCCTGTTCTCAACTTCTCAAACTTCCACTCACATTCTCTCGCCAGGATGTAAATTTAAAGTTAAGTGAAGTGCTATTTAAACGTGTGATTATCTCAGTTTTTTCAGAGCTAGCCAAGCGAACGTTTGGTTGTTATTTCGCTGTCACGCTAATAAGCCATTTCAGTTAAGTATCACGCCGGTTAGATTTTCTCTGAGTCCATCTCTTAGGAGTAATTTTGAAATGCGCTCTTGCACTCGTTTATTTTTTGAGATTTTTGATTTGTATTCTTGTCTACGTTTAAGTTATCGCCACAAGTGAACGGTGTTTTTGTAACGCACGAAGCCCGTGCTGTCTGTTATTTTAGTTTGAGTTAATAAAGGGTTATTTTGCACCCTTCTTCTGTGCTGGTATTTAATTCAAGCCTGTGCGAGAATTCGCCAGGTTCATTGTAGGATCTAAGTCAGTGTATGTGGACAAGTAGAGATAGATCTTACAAGGTAGTTTTCAGTTTCTAAATTTATGAAACATTTGATGCAAATTTTGGTTCAAAAAAGTTTATATAACACAAAACGTAGATTTTGTAAAAGTGTAAAATCAGTTCAAGTCATAGAATTATTAAAAGAATAAATGCCCGATGCTAATTATTAATTTTAAATCTCGAATTTAATGCATTTAATTATTGTGCATGAACCACCCACTTCCCAGTAAGAGAAAAGTTTTCATGATTTTAATTTTAGCTATTTTTTAAAATAGATTTATTTTTATTTAAATATTGCTTGAAATTCAAACAATAATTTCTTAGTAGAAAACTATCACATTTATTCCAAAAATTTGATTCACCCCGTCCATGCCAGAGATTCTATTCAAAAAGGAATTTTCATTCTTTTTAATCCGAAAGGAAAATTTTGTTGATTACATGATTCTGGATTTTTTATAGAAAACTACAGCTAGGAAACGTGTTTAAAATTCTTTAGAATGGTGTCCCAATTACAAACTGAATTTTATATTTGAGCAGAATTATAATAGTTGATTCTTTATTTTGTTGCCTTCTACGGTTTTGTGGATTTGGAGTGATTGATAACAACACTTGACGTAGAATCAAAACACAATTTATTAGCCACTATACAGGGATAGTACTAAAGACGATTTACAGTCGTCGAAAAACTACAACAAACACGCTCACATTATCAGCAACATATCGGCAAAAGCCAGCGTCACAGCAAAGCACTAAATTACAGCTCCAGAACCGCTTTCGAGCTGATCTCTGATTTCAAGACACTACTATTGAATTCAACATACTCCAGATACTCCCTACTCCGTGTAGTAGCAGGGTATATATAGCTATTGATCTGCCTTTCAGTACATTCTCGGGAAAACCGGTATGAATTCGTTCTGGCATGTTCTCGCTCCTTTTATGGCGTATCGCCAGTTTTATCTCTAAATGTCACCAAATGGGAAATTTCGCACCAAATTTGGCAACCCTGCCTTTTCTTACCACTTTTTGGCAACCTTAACCCCGCTTTGCGGAAAATTTGTGTCACCGCAGCTGGGTATTTCGTAACAATATACACACGATCAATAGGAGCTCTGCACAAATTTTTATGGCTTATCTGCGCCCATTTTCATCGGAATCTTTACGTCAATTATATCTAAAATTTTGTAGAATTCTATTAAAGATTTCTGACCGGCTTGCAGAAGATTGTGCCATAATTCTAAAGGAGTTTAAAGATTTTTTACTCCCTACTTCGTGTAGTAGCAGGGTATATATAGCTCCCTACTCCGTGTAGATACTCCCTACTCCGTGTAGTAGCAGGGTATATATAGCTATTGACCTGCCTTCCAGTACATTCTCGGGAAAACCGGTATGAATTCGTTCTGGCATGTTCTCGCTCCTTCCATGGCGTTCTACACTTTACATTGGATTTTTTTTTTTATATATAATTCTGTAAAATATTTTTCAGAAGTCTTACCTCCATGCCCTGTGACGCAAGCAAACGCTACCCAGGCTACGGACATCGTGAAAGTTGTTCTATGCACGGCAGCAAATATGGAAGTCAAAACAAGCCCATGAGGTTCACCAATATTCCATCTGTGGGCTCCATAAACGGATGTCAAAGCAAGAACAATCGATGCACACCATCCGGAAATATTTTCCACCTGGAAAATATTCGGAGCATAAGTGGCAATAAAAAATATAAGATTTACAAGCACAGATTTTAGGTTCTTATGAAATATTTTATAGAGTTTTCCTTTAATATTTCATTTATTTAACCCGCGAAGACGCGCGCTACTTTTAGCTACGCGAGGACGCGTGTCGGGCTCCGTAGGCCCGAAGCGGTTTTTTCAACAAAACAAAAATAAAATTGCTTGTGTAATTGAAGAAAAACATCTAAATAATAAAAACAGAGTGTATAAAATATAAAAATATACTCTTAATTTAGTAAGTCTAATAAAATTGTATTTTAAAACAAATTTAAGACTGAAATTATTTATCATTAACAACAAAAAATTAAACTGATTTTCGTTTTGAGCGCAAATGAAATTTAGTACTAATTATTATGCCATATTAAATTTTTACAGCAATAATTTTCAAAAATAAAACTTTCATTTCACATTTTTTTTCTTTTGCAAATAAATCGTGCTGTGTTTTACCGCAAATATTTTTCTCGCTGCAAATTTGTCATTTTTCGGTCCGTTACGCCAAGACTGTAAACGTTTTTACAATTTTCAACGAACTTTCCAAAGGCATATCTTATCGGAGCCAGTTTATTTATTTCCCTTCTAGAAAAGCGATCTCTTATGTCATCAAATCTCAAACATCTCATTAGAAATAAAAAACATTTGTTAGACATTGTTCGATGAAAAATGTCAAGCATTGTTCCGTCAGTCACGCAAAGGTCGAGAACATTTACGTGTGAGAAGCCTTGTGGAGTCCTACAAAATAAAAAAGACCGATAAATGTTCTGATTTCTGTAATATTTGTGGGTCGAGCATCTCTCTATCTTCCAAATTTGACGGCAATGGATTTGATATAAATGTTTGCACAATCTACTAGAATTTTTTATTTCATCCATAAGTAGTTGCCAAGAATTCATAGGGTAGGACACAAATTTTGTTTCACAAATATTTCCGAGCAATTTTCTCACAATGTTGGTGAGCAAGAGTTCTCACAAGCAAGTCTTGGTTCTTTTTTATTCATTATCCTTTTCTCACATTATCACATACATTTGCAAAGATAACAATTCTCCCTGATGGACGACACAAAGTTACTTAATTCATTACTAGATTCATCGCTTGAGTATAATGCCTCTTCAGAATTCGATTGGTGATCACTAAACTGCTCTTCACCAACTCTTCACCAACTATTTCTTCGTCCTCTTCATTAATTGTATCTTTATCGGTCGACACTTTGGCTAATAGTTTCTGTAGTCTTTTCATTTCATAGTCATAACTCAAATAGCAAGACCTTTTTGCAACTGCCTTATATCTTTCACATTTTTCACAATTTTAAATGACAATGCGAGCGCACTCCCCTCGGCCAGGGAAGCCCGGTTACTCAGTTTCTGAGAAAAGATGAACCGGTTAAATTCCAGAAATGCTTGTGAATGACAAGTACATGATCTTAAACGCAGCTACTGAGAAGGTCGAAAAATTTCACCAACGGGAGAAATTTTTGTAAGACGTTTTTGTAACGACCGGGCCTCGCAGGCCCGACGCGCGTTCCCGCGGGTTAAATTTATCGCCTTCGTAAATAATAGTAAAACACAGAAATATTGTGGTAAATTTGTGTAAACATATTAAATTCTTTTTGATTGTATTGTCGTTACATTTCCTATCGCTTTACCTAATTTATTTATTGCTTTAAAGGTGATGATTTTAAGTTTTATTTTATATTTAAAGAATTTGTAGCCTCAACTTATGTATAAACATTTATTAGCCCAAAGGGACATTAATCACGAATTATTCCCGAAACGGCATTTCGGGTTGAATTGCTATGAAAGCCTATCACTTTTCAAACTGTTGCCACAACAAAATACTATTGCTCTGCATTATATTTCAAGAAAATAAGTAATGAAGAATCTCCATGTATGCGTGTTTCTCCCACTGTGAAAAAACAATGGTATCTAGAGACATGAAATTTTGAATAACGTAATCCTCCACATGAAGACGGCCACCTGGATGCCCCTAATTTTGATTTTCAAATTTTTGTTATTATCTATTTCATATTTTGTAAATCTTTAACTAATTTTTATTAACAAATTCAATGACTTCAAAGAGAGCAGTGGCAATACTGTACTTTCCGTACAACGTAAAACACTTTTATCGCCAGCCCGCGAGGTTACCTATCGGAAATTATAAAGACATAACGTAAGCACACAAAACCTTAATACTGCAAAGATAAAAAAAAGTTTTGTAAACCCATCTTAGTAAGAATACCGAACACTGATATGATGAATTGAGAAAGGACTGAAAAAATCAAAAAAGTTTTAACCAACCCATATTTCATAGGAAATTCTAAATGTATATTTCTATGCTGATTTTGAAATTTTTTAAAAATTTTGCTGTTGAATTATATATGGGGTAGGTGCGAAAAAATTATGCTGAATAATAAGCTAAAAAGACAAAAAAAGGGGGGGTTAGTAGGCGTGAGTGTAACGGCAGACTGCTAGCTCATCGGGAGTTTAAAAAAATTTTAACAAAACTTTTTGGACGAACGTTAAAATCTAAAAGCTTTCAGATTTCTTTTCTTATTTAAAATTGTAATTTTTTCAAAACTGATTCCAACAACTATTAAATTGCAAACGTAACTTATACAGAAAGCGAGATATAAGAAAATACTCTCCTAACGGGCCTAGACGCTATGTTAGATGGTGATATTTAGCGATTTCTCTATAACTCTACAAAAAAAATTTCGAAGCTCTACAGCATATTCTTCAACAACAGGTTTTAAATTTTTTCCTGCTTTTCTGGAGTGTTTTAAAGAGACACTAATGAACTCCTTCTTGCAGGAGTATCCAAATGTGTTATGAACCCTTATGAGATTATCAGGTTTTTACATTTCAAATTAAATGAATTTCAAATTCTTAATTTTGAGCTTAGCTTTATTTAATATTTGTCTCTTTCACGCTAAAAGGTGTCACTCTTCATCCAAACTTAAAATAATAATAGTAGGAAATAATTTTACCGTTATTTTAAAATTTAAACGAATTTTACGTTGTAAGGATTTATTTCCTTTTATCTAGCAGTTATTTTATGTTCATCAGCTTTACTCACATTTTCCTTTTCCGTTTTCACTAATTTTAGTTCGTGAATATTCATATGATTCGGTTTTCTGTTGAATTTGTGAAGTGTGTTTTATACAGAACCGCAACAGAAAGAAGCATGCCTGTACTTAGCATCATATTACTGTAAATATTTTCTCGATTCAAATGATTTTACCTTACTTATTTCAATGCCTTTGTGCTTGACCATTAAGAAACCCACAACGATTCCAACGTAATAAGGGCCAGCATGTGTGAAAGTGCGCATGTGAACTATGTCAACGGTTTGTTGAATTTTCCTGCGAATAAATTAATGTTACTATACACACACACACACCACACACACAAAAAAAAAAAAAAAAAAAATCTATACTCTACAGTCCGTTACTTTAAAGTTAGGCACTTCAATGCCTTTCCCACCCTAAAATGCGCATTTTGATCGCCTCACATAAATGAGTTCTCCCACCTCATTTGAGCATTCAAATTTCAAATCAGCCTTTGTTTAATTTGAATGCTCAAATGAGGCTCTTAATTTATTTTTTACTTTACGCGCACTTTTCATGAAGCGAAACACGCTAAATACAAGTCAAGTGGGAAAAAAACAATAGGGGACTTATCCATGGTTAAGTCTCCTATGGTCGTTACCATGGTTAAGAGGCAGTGAGATGGGAGAGTATGACCTTGACGTGCCTAATTTAAAGTAACAAAATATAGGAAACGGTATAGTAGTATAATGGTAATAACATAAAAACATCAAAAATCTAAACAAAACGTTAACTACAATAAAAAAACAGAAAAGCTGAGAATAATAATTAACTGTACTGAAATAAAATAACTATATATTTTTAATGAATATTTTAACTTAATTATATCATTTGTTAGTACAAATTATACACATTTAGAACATTATTGATAATATTTTTAGACAATTTAATTATTATTGCTAATATTTTCCAATTACTTTATGTTAATAACTCAAAAAAACATTTAATTAGTAACACTGATATTTTAGGGCTTTGATCTATAGTAATTCCTAGACGTTAAATTTCTTAATATTGGAAATTTACCGCTTTTAATTTAAAACGAGTATTTCACAAAGAATGCTTGGCAGATTTTCTCAAAGAACAGTAGCCAACTAAACGAGGGCGAAATTTGAAATATTTTAAGGTAATACAAAATAATAATAATAATTCGAATGGTAAGAAATAAAGAGATAAATTATGATATCAGATTTGACAAAACAAAGGTATATTACACCCTAGAATCAGCATTATCTTTATAGATTCTGTAAGGTTTATCCTAGGCTTTTAACAGTTATCTTTAGTTAAAGCTACTTTCCTGCCCCTTCTAATTTCAGCTTACAATTTCCTGCCACAGTGCATGTTTAGAATCGCGGTTAATGAAAATGAATAAGAGCGGTATTTAAGTCGAAGTTCCACCGACTTCGTTAGAGAGCCAGAGATTCTGACTAGCACGCGTTTGCCATACGCCCGCTAATCAGAATCTGTGTCAGAATCTAGTCAGAATCTGCACTCTCTCTAAGCTATCACTACGTTCGGCCCTATTTCAGGCCCTTGATAGATTCGCCGTTTAATTAACATTTAGGGACCAACTCCTTTAGAATTTTGATAGCTCCGGTTATATATCTTTTTTTTTTTTTTTTTTTTTTTTTTTTTTTTTAAGCATTAGTTAAGCTTGATTTCATAAGTTTGATTAGTACTCTTGAGTTCAAGCCCAAATGGATGCTTTTCTGTACGCTCTAAGACAGGAGCCGTCTGTAAATTCTTATTTTGAGAAATAACGGGTAATTAACCCTTCTTGAGTTTACGCTTCTGTTTCCTGAGCTAAAGCGATATTCGCTTACCAGTTCTCGAGGTTCCACACACATAGCTTAAGAGAAGAGGTTTTAACTTTATAATACCCGTACATATTTAAATCGCTTTCAAAGTATTAAAGTAGAATTTTTAATTAAATTTAACAATAAATTTTTAATTAAAAGAATGAGTAGTTGGTGATGATAAGCGATGCAAAATTAACACTTTTTTTTCTGAAATAAGATTTCTATAAAGTAGCAGGATTTGATTAACAATACAATATTTATTATTATTTATATGTTTTGCCCTAAGGCGCTGCACAGAAGGGAGTGATGCCTTCGTGGAGGACTTTCTAAGGAAAAATGGCTCGTATTAAGACGCTACACATGAGGTAAACACCAAAAACTCCCATTAAGCCAGCCCGTTTGCGTGATTCGAACCTCGGATAGAACTACCAGTGTTCAGGACCGCTCGCCCACTGATAGACACTTTACAATATTAACAGGTAAAAAGGTGCGGTTAACAAATAAAAAATAAACATCGAATATTTATTACATTACATTGAATTTTAAATTTAAGTAAAATAAAGCATTTAAAAACAAAATTATTTTCTCACTCATTATTGCCAGACGATATTTGTATAGTAGGTGGAAGATCCCAAAGATATGTTAGAACTCCGACGGCAATATTGCAGGCAACTACGATGATCGTGATCAAACTCAAACCGATCTTCGGCGATCTGAAACATAAATAGAAACAACATGTGATAACTTAAATGCGGAAATGGGCATGGTTAAATGCTACCATAAATGATATGTACAAAGCTTTAAACATGAGCATTGTTATAGAAATTTCCTGTTGTCTTTAACTCATCCGTTTTGTGAAGTATCCGTACATCGTTGCTTTCAAAAAGCTTTCTTTAACATATTTAAAAGAAATGAAAAACTTTAATATTGTTACGAATTTTATATTTGCTTGAATAATTTTAGGGAAATTATGTTTAAAATTGTAATATCTTTTCTAAAATGTAACATATAAGGCCTCATGACCGAAGCTCTGCCGGATAAATAAGGTAACAGGAGCAAATCCCTTTTACAATAAGGTAAATGGTTATCTAGCCAAATTGGGCAGACAGCGCCAAGCTTGCGATGGTTTTGAACGACTGATTTTTGTCGCCAAATTTGGCGAGGAATTGCCAAATGGACTTGGCATCATTTTGGTCCGGTCTCCGTATAATCTAATGGTACTGTATAAGATATTTTTCTAGCATACCTTCGTGGTATAGTGATTCGCATGCTGGATGCATATTCCAGATGCCCGTGGTTCGAGTCCCGGCGAGGGCATTACTCATTTTTCAGCTCTCCTGCTTCGAAATAACCTAATGTCTCTACAACTGTTATAAGGTATTTTATCCCTCCTTTCTCATTGCTTTCGTGGTGTAACGGTAGCACACTCGGCAGGTATTCGAGAGGTCTAGATTCGAGTCCCGGTGAGGTCACTGCATTTTGTACACGTCTTCTGCTTCAAAAAGGTATAATGACTCTACACTGTAACTGAATAACTGTAATTGATCCCTATATGTAACCGTACCAGAATCCGGCCTTCATCTGTAACTTTAACCACATATGTCGAGAAATCGAAGTACAGAAAATTACTCCAGTGGTCAGAGGAAATGTAGAGATATCCGTAAGAGTTTCGCTCTCTTAGTTCACTTTCATTGCGCTGCGTTGAACGTTCTTAGTAGTTTGAAATGGTAAGTACTGCTCTGTGATACTGAGAAGAACTGAACGAGTGCTTTTGTGCAAAGTTTCAGCACTGTAAATTGTTTCTTTAGGGGGGAATATCAAGCTATCATCGGTTCTGTGTGCATTCAATCTATTATGAACTCGTACGAGCATACCAAAATTTAGTGAGAATCTCGCCGCTTTTAACACGCTGATTGCTGATACCCTTGTATAAGTGGTACTACTGCGTGTCCTAAGTACGTTTTCAATTCACAAGAAATGTTTTAAAAAATAACTGCAGGATATTATGTATAGGACGCAACATGGTATTTTATATCAACTTTATTTGCCCAAGTCCCATTCGACCAAAACAAGGCGATGATGATATAGCGCCCACCATATCTTACTTTGGACACCGCAGTAGAGACTTCCAATTTTTTCAAACTAGCAAATATAAAATTTTATTCCATTAGCTTATCTGGACGCCTTACGAAAATGTCGTATAGAATTCTATGAAAAAAGAAACTAATGTTAAACTTCTTCAGAATCGTTTAGAACTAAGGCCCAATTTTCCACAAACTAAGTCAAAGATCTTTTATACAAATCTATAAAATTGTACATGAAAAACATCGATACAGAAGCTACAGAGATTATGCGCAGATGTTTTGTAAAGATTCATGCAGATATTCGGCAAAATTTGAACAGTTTCGAAACTTCTCGCATACAAAATCTAATATAATGTGTATCGATTCAAATAATATTAGAATTCGCATCAGATCCAATTTATAGAAAACTAGGCCATAATTCTAAAGATCTCTAAACAAGTTTTCTTACTTACAATTTTCTGTAAAAGATTCTATAGAAGCTTTTAAATTTTTAAAAACATTAAAAAGCCGGCAAAGATTTAGGGGGATTAAAAGAAATGAACTAAATATTCATTTTTGAATAAAACTTTCTAACCTAACTCTTCAAATAAACATACGAAGAGGTATAACACACCTAGACGATGGGAGATCATTTAGCGATGCATGGTCGGAAGCGATTTCCTGGTGCCGTATTGACGGCATGAAACACATAAAGGAAGGACACGAACAGCATGAGAAAACATTTTTGCTAGTTGTGGTTTCATTTACAAATTTCGCTTAGAAATATATTCCTGCAAACAAAAGTTTGCAGGAATATATTTCTAGACGAAATTAAAAACTTCTGTTTCTAGACGAAAAAAACTTTTGTTTGCATTATAAACCTTCAGCTAAATCTTATAAGGTTGTCTTATAATTTTGTAACAATAAGACTGATTGACTATTAAGGGTGTTACTATTCAATGTGATTCTCGATTTGACGGAAACTTATATAAAGCCTAAAGAACGAAACTTTCGATTCATTATTTACCACTTATTTTTTGAGAAATATTTTTTCTTTATTTTATATTTCTAAAACATATTTTAGACAAGTGAATACAAAACTTTACCTGTACAGTAGATACAAAACGACAATTGAAACCACGTGAAGCTGAAAGTCTGCTGACAAGTACCAAGTTGGGTGAACGCACTAGAAAAGAAACAAAACTTTAGTTTTTACCACCCGATAATAGCGAAAACCACATTCATAATGCATATTCAGAGTACACGCAAAACAAATAGAAAACGCTTGCAAAACGTTTGTGTAATAAATTAAATTTAGTCTACAAATATTAATGCAAAATGTTGTTATTTAATCACGTTCTAGAAACTCCTATGTAACCAACTGTCTGTTTTGCCCGTTAGCTGTATGGCAGCTGCTCTCGAACCTTCATTGATTTGTCCATACGCCCATGCCCATTGTATGGATATCTCATTTCTCTGTTGCTTTTAGTGTTTTGACAATATATTTTTTTTTTAAATTTTTGATGTCAAATCAGTCGTACAGATGACAGTAGATGTCTACTAAGTGGTAATTCGTAAGTCTATTTTGTGTTATTCAGATTGGCTCAATAACGCGCCAGAGCGAATGAGAGGTAAAGTTAGTAAACACTAGTAATTCGGTCCGAAGTTCGATTTGCGGCGAACGGGCTGGCTGCGTGTGTGCTTTTGTGGTTCTTCTCATGTGTAACGGGAATACAAGCTAATGTTTCTTACAAAGTCCTCAAGAAGGCATCCCTCCCTTAGGCAAATAGCCCTCGAGTGTTTTGCCTTAATTAAGTAAAACCAAAACCGACTGGTTGAAAAACTGCAAGCTTGTTTCCTGTTTTACTTATGGCTGGGCAAACTTTTATCTTTCAGCGGTAGCTTTTTGCATGGAATTTAGTGACGATTTCATAATTTTATTGATGTATAATCTGCACAAAAAAAAAGGAGGTAAAGACAGTTCTATACATCCCGTTATACTGAGTCCACTAACAAAATTTAACTTAATGTTTTTCATGTTTTGAAAGCACGACATGGGATATATATTAGATTTATATCAGGCATTGTTCTAAGATAGGTTATTTTGACACAAAACTCGGACTTTTCCTGAAATGACATATCGATTTTTTTCAATATTCGGACTCTTACGACTCAAATTATGCTTAAATATTAAGTGTTATAAAACTGGATGAGAAACTTACTGAAAAATTGAAACATTTAGCTTGTCGCACTTTTTTTCAATTTGCTTCAAGAATAATTCATTTGGCGAAATTCTTAGTTTACAGTAACCTATTTTCCTTTCCCTTTCATTGAACACAGCCAGAAAGAAAGGGGCATTGTTCATTCTTTCAAATAATTTTAACAAAGTAAACCACATTTGACGTTATTATCGCTTATATGGTTAGAAAAAACACTCGCCACTGTCAAAAAAACAGTTTTTTTTTTTTTTTTTTTTTTTTTCCGTCTGTGTGTGTTTTTGAAGGGAAAAGATTTTTGGTAGGTGGTTCTCGAAGCTAAATGTTTCAATTTTATTTAAAATCAGTAAAAGTCTAAATTTTGCTATTTTACCTAATTTTGCTTACAATTATCTGCTAATAATAATACAGAAATTTAAAATGAACACTTTTAAGGTTTTTGGTGGCTGTTAACTAATAAATCTAGAATACTTACTATTTGTCGCATGCCGAGCCAGTTGCTAATATACAAAATATTTGCCCACCAGTATTCTGTACAGGCCTTCAACTCTGGATCCACTCGTTCATACCAGAAAGGCCCAGAACTCAGAAGAGGCATAAAAAAAGCTAAGCCCATGGCCAGAAGTAAAGGTGGAGTCAACCTAGGACAAAATATAACAATAATGGATTTACGCTATTTGTCTTCTAAAGGACGGTATTTGTCTTTCTAGAGATAACAATAACATGAACTATATAAGCATTTTGGTCATTTACTGAATACAAGAATTTTGTTGCTTCGAATAGAAATGTTTGTATAAAGTATAATAAAAAAGTTCCGAGACTGAATTTTTATTTTAATAAAGATAGATTTATATAATCGTCAATACTTATAGCATTTAATAGGTCGTATAACGAAGTCATGTTGTATCGTCATCAGATTATTTTGTTAAATCGGTTGCCATTTACATATTACAAAATTCTAAATTCTAAAATGTTTAGTATCTCTTTAAGAAAACGGTTAATAGTTCAATGGATCTGAAAACATTGGATCATTTTTCACTTCTTCTATTATGCAACAGAGTAAATCTTCGTTTAGGTAAAATACGTTCTTTTTCATATTTGTTAAATCGGTTACCATTTACATCTGTAATAGTGTAATGGATCTGAAAACAACCGATCATTTTTCATTTATTCTATTATGTAATAGAGTAAATCTTCGGTTAGGGAAAATATGTTCTTTTTCATATTTGTTAAATCGGTTACCATTTATAGATTATAAATTGTAAATTCTAAATGTTTATATCTATTTAAGAAAACAATTAATGGATAATGTAATGGATCTGAAAACAACCGATCATTTTTAATTTTTTCTATTATGTAATAGAGTAAATCTTCGGTTTGGTAAAACATATTTTTTTATATATTTGTTAAATCGGTTGCCATTTACAGATTACAAAATTCCAAATTCTAATATGTTATACTTTCCTTTAAAAAAATTTATAATTTAATGGATCTGGAAACAATTGATCAACTGTCACCTCTATCAGTATGTATTAATGTAAATCATTGAATTGGTAAAAACAGTTTGAAAAAGGAATGAAACACTGGGCATATTAATAATAGCATCAAAATGGAAAAATTGAGTAAATCTTTCACTACTACCTGATGTATCGTCTTAAAATATAAATCGGAACATTTATGCGTCCTTTGGCCTTCGGTAAAATCTTCATCACAGCGTAACTAGTTAATAGACCGCTGGAAAAGAAAAATTGAAAGTTATGAAAATGAAATTCCAGAATTCCCTCCATGCAGAGGGAAAATGAATAATTGATCTTTTCTTCTCCCCCCCCAGACTGCAGATTCTTATATTATGCAAAATACGAATACAGAGGGTACATTTTTATCTAAATTTTATCCTTCTTGAACAGAAATTTAATCAAACAGATAATCACAAAAAATAATCGCGAATAAAACATTGCTTAATCGAAACGCGAAATTTGTTCTTAAATTTAAAAGACGATTGTAAAAGAAATCATGCGATTACAGCCGCGAGATTTCTGTCACCAGCAACAGTATCAGAGTTCAGTATCACAGCGTAAAAACGTTTTAGCTGTTCTATTTCTGTGAAATCAAAATTGTACACAATTCCTTGAAGTATGAATTCCATAATTTGTTGTTCCAGGGGCAGCAAGACATAAAAATCTTCTCTAAATAATGATCCCCAAAAAGTAGAAAGGGGTTTCACAAAAAACTATTTCATTAATACGCAAAATTTATTATATAAGGAATTTCGATTAAAGAAGAAACTACAGACTGAATTTAAGCACTGAAATCCTGGATGCTTTGAACTTGAAGAATAAACTGCCGCCCTAATCGCCATAATAGTTAGTAATATTGGTAGTCGTATCGCTGGGCCCTTAGTTCCTTAGGGCTGGAGAATGTACGCATGCCTGTGAGTGCATATGTATCGCATGAAACACTTGGAATACTGGTCAGTCTTAAATCTTCTTGCGTATCTTGGCGCAATAAGTGGGATGGGATTACACTTGTAAAATTATTGGTGCAGATTTGGTGTCCCGCCCAATTCATCTTGTCTTGTCCATTTGAAACATTTCATGTTTTGCGAAGCTCCGGAATAGTAGATCCAAGGAAGTGCTATCTGGGTAATATTGTGATCAGCGAATTGGACCACCGAGCTGAATCTACCTACTGTAAACGCAACGTATTAATTTTATTTAAAATGTATTTTCCCGATTGGCAACAACAGTTTTTTTCAGAACGATAATAATTTGAACTGTAATGGTTTTTGAGCAGTAATGTTGACGGTAATGTTTCTGAATAAAGCAAGTATCTAACAATTAATGTTTGACGGAATGTGTTTTTAATAAAGGAACTAATTAATTGCTAACATTTCAGAAGTGGGATAAACTAGAATTATTATCTAGATTTAACAACGTATTGCCTTAACGTACGCTAAGCCTAAACTGAATGCGGAAGCTCGCCAAAACTGAAAGTAGAAAGGACGTGAATTTAAAAACTGTTTATGTTATGTCTAAGTATTAAATGTAAAGAACTTAAGTATCATTATTGTATTATTATTTGAAAATTGAAGTCTAAGATGGCTTATTTGGCAAGAGGCAAGAAATGTGACTTAAAAGAATTTGCTTTGGAACTTGATGTAGATGTCCCTTCTGATATTAAAATTGTAGGCTTAAGAGATATGATTTTGAATAGTAAGAATTATAATGAAGACTTTACTAAACAAATGCTAGATAGAATTATAAATGATCGTTGAGACAGGGAAAAGTTAAAAATTTTAGAAAAAGATAAGCAAAGAGCATTTGAAATGGAAGTAAAAGATAAGCAAAGAACATTTGAACTTGAAAAATTGAAAATAGAAGCGGAAATCAGAAGTAGTAATGTAAATGATTCTGTTCCTTCTAATGTTAGTAGAAGTAATATTTGTGATATGAGTAAATTAAGGCATAAGTATGATTTGAATGAAGGTGATATAAGTTTTTATTTAGTTTTATTTGAGAGACAGGCACGACGTATTGGGTTAGAAGAACAAAACTGGGTTTCTCAGCTGTTGGGTCTATTGCCTTATGAAATAACTCAATTAATTGCCCGTGAATCAGAAGAGAAAAGCTAACGACTATAAGCAGCACGTTAAACAACTGCTACTGAGAAAATTTAAGTTAAGCCCTGAACAGTTTTGGCAAAAGTTCGCTGATCATATTAAACGTTGCGTAATACGTGGAAGGACTTCACGTTTGAATTAAAAAATTATTTTGAAGAGTGGCTTGCTTGCTTGATTAAATGTAACAGATTTTGACTCTTTAAAACAACTTATTATTACTGATCAATTAAAGAAGAGGGTCCCCGCTGCTATCCGAGACAATTTCATCGATGATTGGTCTAAATTCATTAATCCTGAAGAGTTGGCTGAAAAACTAGATGAATATGAAAATATTCGGGCAGGGATAAAAGTACTTCAAGTAGAAAATAAAACTTTTAGGCATAATTCTAAGCCCAAATCTGGTTCTAAATTTTATGAAGGATCCTATAATCAGTATTCAAGACAAAGAAATGTTAACGACTTCATGCAGACAGATGGTAATTTCAAAGTGGGTTTTAAAAACAGTTTTAATAATAAATACAATCTGAGAGATAAATTTTATAAAACAGACGAAAGGAAAAGGGAATATAATTCTGGCATCCGCAATGAAAAGGGTGAGCTAAAATGCTTCAATTGTAATGATTATGGACATATAGCGACGGATTGTCCTCAACCTAAAAAAGAAATTATTTGCAGGAAATGTAATGAAAAGGGTCATACTTTTAAAAAGTGTACGTCTAAGAATCCAGACTTGACAAATGTTAAAAATAATTCATCCGTGGACCAGAATTGAGGTGTTTCACCAGCTGTATATTTAAAGTATGCTCGCATCAATAATGGAGAAGAAATTACTGCAATCATAGATACGGGTTCTAGTTCGTGTTTATTGAAACAGTCTGCGGCTAAGAGACTGAATCTTATTATAAAACCTGATGTGGAGGAATTGTTTGGCTTTGGGAACCAGAATAAACCAGCCGCTAGAACATTGGGAAAAGTAACTGTTAACTTAGAGATTGATAATGTGGAAGGAAAGAACATTACAGTTCTCATTGTAGGAGATGAAACGCAACCATGCGACTTATTAGTTGGTCGAACAGGGATTGATTTACCACATATTGCATACGCCAAGATAGGTAATACCTTGCACATACGCTATGCTAATGACTGCCTTCATAGTTGCAAAATGATAGCAACACTCCGCGAATTAAACTGAAGGCTTCCCAAGAAACTCAAATCGAAAGTAATACGGTTAATTTCGTGAAAGTTAAAACTGATGAAATAAATAATGGTTATGTTTTAATAAGTGGATCGGAAGATGAGTTAGGCTCATTATTGGAAGTAATACAGGGAGAAACAGTGATACCAGTCACTAACTACAGCGATCGAAAACTAATTTTGAAAGAGAATCAATGTATCGGTAGAGCGGAAGTAGCGGAATTAGTTGAACCAAGTTCAGATCAGAAAACTGAAAATTCAAGTCAAAAAGGAAATACTGATAATAAATGAAATTAAGAAGTTTAGGAGACCGATTACTTTAGAAGAAATTAAAGTTAATAACAATATTACGCCAGAGAGAAAACAGGAATTTTTACATTTGATAAATGAGTATCGAGATTGTTTTGCATTAAATATGGAGGAATTAGGGTGTACAAACTTAACAAAAATGTATATTAAAGAAATTGAAGGGAGTAAGCCCATTTGCATGATGTCGTATAAAACCAATACCGAAAAGCGTGCTTCTATAAAGAAGATAATAAATGAATGGAAGAAATATGGAATTGTTACTGAAACAAGATCTCCGTATGCTAGTCCAGTTTTACTGGTAAAGAAAAAACAGGCGAATTACGATTAGTGATAGATTATAGAAAGTTGAATTCGCAAACTGTTAAAGATAAATTTTCACTCCCTAGGATAGATGATCTTCTTGAATGTCGTAGTGAGTGTAAAGTTTTCACTACATTGGACTTAGCTCATGGATATTTGCAGATTCCTTTAACTGAAGAAGCGAAACTGAAAACAGCTTTCATCACCACCAGATGATACTGTCAATTTGAACGTATGATTCTTTGGGTTAGCTAATGCACCTGCAGAATTTCAGACACTTATGAATCAAGTTTTAGGTCCATTGCTTAATAAAGAAGTAGTATTGTGCTATTTGGACGACATATTAATTTCCGGCTAAATCTTGGGAAGAAATGATGGAAAAACTTAGGAAAGTGTTTGATAGATTGAGAGAAGCAATGCTGACATTGAAACTGACAAAATTCGAATTTGGAAAAAATGAAGTTGAGTATTTGGGATTTCTAATAAAATCAAATGGTATGCAACCTGGACCAAGAAAGTACGAACCATATTAAACTTTCCTAAACCAACCAATGAACATGAAGTTAAACAATTTTTAGGTCTTACAAGTTTCTTTAGAAGGTTTGTACCGAAATACGCAGAGAAAGCTGAGCCGCTAACGAGACTGACGAGGAAGGATGAAACATTTCGTTGGAACGAAGATCAGCAAGAAGCATTCAGTACTTTAAAGGATCATTTAACTAATGAACCAATACTAGCATTATATAATTCCGAAGCAGAGCCTGAAGTGCACACAGACGCGAGCAACAAAGAGCTGGCAGGAATGCTGTTGCACAAAGGTGGAGATAGAAAGTGGCATTTAGTTTATTGTGTAAGTAAAGGAACAACAGAAACAGAAAAGAATTATTATTCAAGCAAATTAGAATTAATGGCTATAGTTTGGACTTTGACACGACTTCGACAATTTTTAATTGGAATCCGATTTACTGTAATTACAGACTGCCAAGCTTTAGTTTATTTAAACGCGAAGAAAACTTCAAATCCTCAGATAGCAAGGTGGAGTAATCTGATCCAGGAATACAATCTTGAAATAAAGCACAGACAAGGTAAAAAAATGAGTCACATAGATGCATTGAGCCGATCGCCAGTTGATCAGCCAGAAGTAACTTTAGACTCTATAATTGAAAACAACTTGGAAGTTTGTTTAACGCTAACGATAGATGAACAAATTTTTATGATTCAATTAAAGGAATGATTCAGCATTCAGATCCAGAATTACGCAAATTAATAGACATTTTAAAGAAAAAGATAGATGATAGAACGAATGCAGAGA